TAGCTTCTTGATAGCTCTCCGGCACAAATGCATTGGAAAAATTTACATATACAACATAATCATCATATTTGGTTGGCATCCTTCAATTACTTTGAGGATATCTTCTATCACTCACCTCCTTAACTTTTTCATTCTCACTACTTTCCTTTTCTTGATTAATTTGTCGTTGTTTTCTATTTTGTTCATTTAAGACCTCAATTTACTCTTCTTCATCTTCATTAATCATCTTTATACATTTTTTATCCTTTTCTAAAAATGTTACATGCCTACTTATTATAATTTTATTTTCCACTAGTATCTTATATCCTGTATCAGTAAAACCTACAAGAATACCTTTTACAGCCTTTGGATTCAACTTTGAACTTCTTCGTTCTTCAGGAATTCTAACATATGCAACGCTACCATAAATTTTTAAATTTGACACATTAGGTTTCCTTCCAAAAAATATTTCATATGGAGTTTTCTTACTTATTGTATTAGTTAAAAGTCTATTTCCTAAATAAGCAGATGTAAGTATGCACTCAGGCCAATATTTCTTATCTATTTTTGCCTCAGCAAGTAAACACCTAGCACGATTTAATATTGTTCTATTATACCTCTCAACAACACCATTTAATTCATGTGTATATGGAGGGGCTGGTTTTAAATAAATTCCTTCATCTTTAGCTAGTCTGTAAAAATCATTATTAATATATTCACGTCCATTATCACATCTTATTTCCTTTATTCGCTTTCCAGTTTGATTCTGTACTAATTTTATATACTTTAAAAAACAATCATAAACTTCACTTTTGTTTTTAATACAATATACTATTGCTATTCTACTGAAATCATCAATAAAAGTGACAAAATATCTCACACTGGACCATGGACATCCGAATGTATGATTTCCAACAAATCTTTTGCTCGATATCTGTTATTTTCAAATGGTAAATTACACATCTTATTTTCCAAACATATTTCACATGTTATATAATCATTTTCAATATTAGTAGGAAAACCATCTAACAACTGAAGCTTACTTAATTCTTTTAAACTATTAAAGTTGGTATGACCGAGAATTCTATGCCACAACTCTTTATTTGTCATATTACTAGTACTTGTGTATGATTCAGAAACATATTTTTTTAAATTTACTTTTCCTGACAATTCAAACAATTTATTTTTCTTTAATGCTACAGCAATTAACTTATTTCTATTATCATAAATTTCAGCACTACCACTGTTAAAAACTATTATTAAACATATTATTATGAGAAGTGATGCATGATACACTAAGCAAGTTTTGTTTCATACTTGGTACATAATAAACATTATTAATCATAGTTCTATGCCATTTACCATTAACATTAAATAACATACAGATATTTCCTATTTTACTCGCTTTTAAAGAAAAACCATCACCTACCTTAATGTCTACAGAATGCTCTAAATTTTTACTTTGACAATAATATTGTTCATCATTTATAATGTGGTCTGAGCAGCCACTATCTAATAACCATGACACTATTGGACTGTTAGCTTGACATTCACTTATTGAATTTACCTCAGATGACATTACCCTTACATTAAAATTACTTTGACTTGTATTATTCGCTGATGAAGTGCCTGCTATTCTTCTAAAATTGTTCCTTCGAAATCTTCCTCTTCCATATCCTCTACGGTAGTTATTGTAATTATTTGTATTATTATTACTGAAATTATATTTTAAAGTTGGACAAAATTTTTGAATGTGGCCTGGCTGGTGACATTTATGGCAAACAATACCTCTTCTATCTTGCCTAAATTTATTATATTTTACTGTACCATTCTGTTTAGTTTGAGAACTGAACGACTGTTGACTATAATTTGTAGATTCCTTCTTTTTATATTCCAACATTAGCTTTGACTTTACATATTCCACTGATTGATCCTTCTGCGGCAAAGCATCCACAATATCCACTATATGTGAGAAACATTCTGGTAAACAAAGTAACAAGTAATTCAGTTTATCTTCTTGTTTAACTTCCTCTCCTGCATATTTTAATTCATTTATATATTTTTCGAAAGTATTAAAAAAATCAACGGGATTATCATTTTCTTTCATTTTCAATTCTAACAGCTTACGTTTACATAATAATCTATTTGCACTGCTCATTGCCAAATACGTTTCATCAAACTTTTTAATCATATTTTTCGCAGATTCTTCCGAAATTATTAATTCAAGTTGCGAGTTACTTACACTGTTCACGATGTAATTTTTTGCTTTTATTTCCATTTTTAGACAATCAATTTGACTAATATTTTCAGGTTTGCTGTCATACAATATAACCTCGTAACAATTTTTCATTTCCAAAAACAATTTCATTCGAAATTTCCATTTGTCGTAGACGGATCCATCAAAAACTTGCAAAATAAATTCATCCTTTTTATCTGCCATTCTTCAAATCAGTTTTCACAATAATTATATCTCGTTTTCAACATCCAAAATAAGAGTAACCACGCCTCGATACCATGTTAGAAAATGTGTTTCCGTGGATCAAAATAAATATGCAGCTCTGCTTTCATGATTGGTTTATTCTGTTTAACTTACATCATTTAACACTTTATACTAGGTTTCACATGATACTACTTAATTACAATAATCAACTTAATCATCTTCAAATCACAACTACACCATCTTGACCAATTACACAGAGTAGTTTTTTGTCTATGCAGTCACAGAGCAACTAAAACAATAGCAATGTTACAAGGTACAAAATCATATTCTCAACAATCACGTGCCCATCCGTGACTTATCACGTTTCCGAGATAAGTCATGACATATATAGCCAAGCCGTGCAGAGTTGTGTTGCCCTAATACCCTGTGTACGGCCTACGGATGCCTGTGCACAGCATTGAGACACGTTTTTTTTACTTTTATATCGTAATATGTAGTTATCGATCTGTGTGGGAAGTTCGATTGACTAGAGAAGCAACACAAGACCTTTGGTTTTGTGTTTAAGCATGCAAGTTTAAAAAGCTCATCACACAATTTGTTTGCCATTTCTCTGGTGTGTCATCGCTCAAAGGCATTCGCCGAATCCGCGAGAAACACCCAAGTGAGGCTTGCCCTCTTTCTGATTTCGCACTCACAAACTGCAAACTTTAGATACGATTTGATTTGTTTGAAATCAGTAATTCAGTTGAAAGCATGAAATAATTGAAACAAAACATTGGATGTTCATAAGATTTATTATTCCTCCGCATAACGTCGATACATTGGCCTAAACGTAGATAGTAATTTTGTATACACCGTTTATTTAAAAAAAAAAACTGCGCCTCGTACGGGGGCAGATAATTTAAATATCGCTACCTACGCGCCTTACATAATATTGTATCTACAACCAGCTTTTTATAGGGAAAAGTATTCGCAACTCGTAAGTTCCCATGCTTCGAGACATTTCAGTACGAGGCGGCGTTTGCGACACACCTCAACCTACACGGCTAGTAACTCATACATCGATATAGAAACGATAATTTCCTGTCTAACTTAAGAAAACTATTTACATGTTTCTTTCCTCGATTTACACTAAGGTTTCCATACATATTATAATCTTCTTGATATAGTTGAGTACAGACACTTCAATAAAATTATATTTTCGTTTTGCAAACAGCAGTTTTGAGGGTAACACAGGGAAGCGTATCTTATTTTTGTAACATTTTTTATAACTGGATACGTTACAGATCCGCTTAGAAATTTCACTTTCAAGTTGAATAAATTGTATGTGGAACTAAGTATCCACAAACAAATTCTTAAAATTTGCAAATCATGTCTATATAATTATATATATACACACTATTTTATAAATTAATTTTTATGTGAAATATTTAAATAATAATTTGTGAATAATGGGAGAATGATTTAAATTAGACTTTAAAGCGTTTGTGAAATGTGTACAACATTTGGGAAGTAATTGTTTCTCAAATGAGATGGCGTTCAAATGTCCTTTAAAATAAGGACCAAATCAATTTTTCTCTAACATTCAAAACCGTCCATTTATAGATGACCAACTCGGAAATGATAAATATTCGAATGTGATCTGTGCCAGTAATTGGACATATTAATTACTGTTTTGGTATGACTAGTACTCTCTTCTAGTTAATTAATGTTGGTGGTAAAATTCTTTGAGAACCTTTAAGCGAAAAATATTACAAAAAAATATGAGATTGTAGAAATATTTCTAATAAACAATTGACTATTGTTATTCACATTTTTGTCATAAAGAATTAAACCATTATGATGTAGATATTAACAAAAAAGTTTATTGGTTATTTAATCAAGTTCTTTTTAAGTATCTGCCATTAACATATTAAATTCTATGTTAATTCAGCATGTGACGGTATCTGAGACATTAAGGCAATGCATAGTATGGAAGGCTCGAAGCATTCCTTTTGGCTAAATAGAGTCTTAGTGTTCGTATTTGGATATCACTTTTTATTAATTGTCTAACAATCAATCTCACTTATAAACTCAATGTACCATATAAAACTACATAAATTTACAATGTATCACTATTCATTCTATATGAAAATAGGATTTATGCTGATGATAAGTTAATTACAGAAAAATTTTAAATAAATTTTAGGCGCAATTTCACAATATTACCTCCAACCAAGACGATTTTCAATTGATTGGGAGATTTTCGATTCAATTGACTACAATAATAAGATGAGTGCAAATGATAGTCCATAAATAAATGTAAATAACATACCTTCAAGCTGTTTTATGACTTGTGTTCCTTACAAAGTATCATTGAATCCCATCCATTTGTTGTCATAATTGAAATATGTCCTGGTATTAAAATTAAAATGGAGTAATTTTAGAATACACCACTATTTATTGAAACCGATCGATTAAAGTATGCTGTGGCAACTTGTATTACACAGAACGGGTTCTGTTGAAACATAGTCTCTGCAATAGGTGGTCGATAGGTGCACAAGAAGGTAGAGGAGAGACGGAAGGTGTGGTGGGCGCACTAGCTGCGGCCCGCGGCGCGCTCGGCCCGCAGCCAGTCGACGAACTCGTCGAGCATGACGGGCCAGGCGCCGTCGGCGTCGTAGGCGGCCAGGTGCGCGTCCACGGTGCGGCTGAACTCGAGGATGTTGCACCACTGGTCGCGGTTCACCACGCGGTAGCGGCGCTCGCGCGCCAGGAACGCGGCCAGCGGCGCGCGCAGCGCCCAGCGCGGCAGCAGCACGCCCAGCAGCGCGCGCGCCACGCCGCCCTCCAGCGACCGCTGCTCCTTGTCCTGCGGCAAGCGCCCACCTGCTCATAACCACCCACCCGCTCACCCGCCCACTCACCCACCCACCACCCACCACCCACTACACTCACCCGCGCGAAGTCGTACGAGTACCGGTAGATCGCCTTGAATGTGCACGCGTCGTTCAGCAGCCCCCGCAGGTACTCCAGCTTGTTCTGCAGCTTTTGCACGCTGTCGCACTGCAGCTCCGTTAGACCTGTTTTAATAAGCGAGCTCGTTTCAGTAGCGAGGCGCAGCGCGCCGCCATTCGTTACCTATTAGCGGTGGGCCATAGTATACTATCGATAGTATCATGGGAGGCTTTCGAAAATGTACACGGGTGATCCCTATAACATCTTTTATACAACATGTTTGTATTTTACTTTTATATTATTATCTCTTGTATTAACTGATGTTTTTGCTTTCAGTCCCGAGACTATTAAAGCTTCATCTGACGCAGAACCGGTGGGCTAGCCAGAACCCACGGGTTTGGGCCCTCCGCTGTGGGTAGGGCCACGCATGTGCTCATGCGTGCGTTTAACTATGGTACGTCATCTAAGGGCCATCGAGGTCGTGGTTCGGACCGAAACCCCGATATGCCGTCGACTGTGCAATTAGCTAATCGGTGGCTGCGGGCGGTGAGAACCGCCTTGGAAAGCGGGTGTACCTTGTGTACGCGTTGTGTTGGTCTCGCCGTGCTCGGAGGCGAGGGCGAACTAGTGTGTTTGTTGTTGCACTAACTGTGGGTGTATTGCAAACCGAATGGCAAGAGGAGTCGAAGAAATGACGTCACTGTAAACGAAGCCCAGAGTCAGTCAACCCGCCAAAACGCCACTGAGGCCAGGGAGGAAGGGACACCGATGGCCATACAGTAGTAAATGGCCACCATATCATTCCTGCAGGCGAATATAAATCACTGCGCCAGGGCTCAGGACCTAATGTTCCAGACCATGGCGCAGTGGTTGATACAAGTGGCCGTAGTGTCGGAACCGTATTTCGTCCCGCCTGGTGACAACTGGGCCGGGGACCTTTCTGGCACTGCGGCAGTGGTCTGCAGGACCGCTGCGGGTTTCCCATCTCTCACCAACGTGAGAAGAGGTTCAGGCTTCGTGGCAGCTCAGCTGGGGGAGTTTGTGGTCGTAGCAGTATACTTCTCCCCCAACAAAGCGCTAGCCGAATTTGAGGGCTACCTAGACCGTCTGGGGTCATTGATCAGGCAGTTCAGTCCCTATCCCGTGCTGGTCGCCGGGGACCTCAACGCCAAGTCTTCGGCGTGGGGATCCCCTGTAACAGACGCGCGTGGTGGGGTACTGGAGGAATGGCTCCTGGAGGTCGGGCTGTCTGTCCTCAATAGAGGTTCGGTGGACACGTGCGTGCGATGGCAGGGCAGCTCTATAGTGGACGTGTCGTTCGCAAGCCCTGCATTGGCACGCCGCGTTTGGGGCTGGAAGGTGATTGTTGGTGAGGAGACACTATCTGATCACCGGTACATTCGGTTCAATCTCCTCGCCCTGTCGGATGCCTTGACTAGCCCAAGCTGGACTTCGAGAGGCAGTGGCCCAAGGTGGCGCCTTGGAAGCCTGAACCACGAAATCCTGAAGGAGGCGGCAATAGTGCAGTCCTGGGTTCCTGTGCCCACTAGTTTAGATGTCGAGAGGGAAGCGGAATGGTTCAGGGACGCGATGACGCAGATTTGCGATGCGTCGATGTCCCGGTCCAGGAACCTCCCGCCCAAGCGTCGGGTATACTGGTGGTCTGCAGAACTTGCGCAAATGCGCAGAGCGTGCGTCACCGCGAGACGCCAGTATACTCGATGCCGCAGAAGACGGCGCAGGGACACTGAATTGGAGGCTGAGCTGTACGCCTCCTTCAGAACGGCAAAGATGGCTTTGCAGGTGGGGATAGGCCGCGCGATCGCCGTTGCCAGGGAGGAGTTCTTGGCTGCATTGGACCGTGATCCCTGGGGGCGGCCGTACAGGATGGTGATGAATAAACTTCGCCCCTGGGCCCCCCCTTTGACACAGAGCCTGCAGCCACAACTAGTATCGGCGATCGCCGCGGCCTTATTTCCACAGAGGGAGTACCACACGTCACCCACGATGGTTCCACCAAACACGGATGACGCTGACCCGGACATAGAAGTGCCTGAGGTGACTCCGGGCGAGTTCGGTGCGGCTCTCTTTTAAAGATGAAAGCCAAGAGCACTGCCCCGGGTCCCGATGGCATCCCGGGTCGAGCATGGGTACCGGCCCTTGAGGACGCTCTGGAGCCCAGGCTGAGGGCGATGTTTACTGCCTGTCTGGCTCAAGCCATTATCCCACAGAGGTGGAAGACAGGCAGACTCGTCCTCATCCAGAAGGAAGGGCGTCCAACTGACTCCCCGTCCGCCTATCGGCCGATAGTGCTTCTCGACGATGTGGGCAAGCTCTTCGAAAGAGTGATCGCCAGCCGCATCGTCAAGCACCTGGAGCACGTCGGCCCAAATTTGGCGGACAGACAGTTTGGGTTCCGCAGGGGCCGGTCAACCATTCACGCGGTGCTGCGATTGAGGTCCCTCGTGCAGGAGGCGGTTTCCCAGGGTGAGGTCGTCTTGGCGGTGTCTCTTGACATCGCCAATGCCTTTAACACCTTGCCCTGGGCTTGCATAAAGGAGGCGCTCCGGTTCCATGGAGTGCCTCTCTACCTGTGCCGCATCTACCTGTGCCGCATCATTGGGGCCTATTTGTCGCACCGACGTGTGATGTACCCGTGCCGAGACGGCTACGGGACCACAGAGGTGACGTGTGGAGTTCCACAGGGGTCGGTGTTAGGGCCACTCCTGTGGAACGTAGGCTATGATTGGGTGCTGCGCGGCGCCTACCTCAGGGGTGTCGAGGTAACTTGTTATGCTGACGACACCCTTGTCACCGCCCGCGGTGCCAATTTTCACCGAGCGGCTATTCTCGCCACCGCGAGTGTGGCGCACGTGGTGGGACGCATTCGGCGACTGGGGCTAGAGGTGGCGCTTAATAAATCCGAAGCCCTATGCTTCTATGGGCCCCGGAATGCGCCACCTGCGGACGCCCACATAATAGTGTGCGGCGTCCGAGTCGACGTCAAGCCGACAATGAGGTATCTTGGCCTAGTCCTGGATCGCCGATGGAATTTTGTTCCCCACTTCGAGCGCCTAGCTTCAAAAGTGGCGAGAGCAGCGGCAGCTCTCGGAAGGCTGCTCCCGAACGTTGGCGGCCCCCCAACGACTCTTGCCGCCGCCTATACACCGGGGTTGTAAGGTCTATGGCCCTGTACGGTGCTCCCGTCTGGGCCGACACCCTGAATCGCCGGACCTTGATGCTTCTGCGCAGACCGCAGAGGGTGTTGGCTGTACGGGCCATACGGGGCTACCGGACGATATCCGGTGAGGCAGCGTGCGTGCTGGCAGGTTCCCTTCCCTGGGATCTAGAAGCCAGTATCCTCGCGTCGCTGCACTTCTGGCGTGAGGAGGCGATAGCCCGGGGCCACCTGCCGGCCTTAGAGGAGTTGAGGGGGTGTAGACTAACGTTGCGCTCACTCGCTATTGCTGAGTGGGAGCAGAGGCTGGAGCACCCCAGTGCCGGCCTAAGAACCATAGAGGCCATACGTCCGGTACTCAGTCGGTGGCTGGACAGGCGTCACGGCACCCTTACCTACCGGGCGACGCAGGTTCTCTCGGGACATGGCTGTTTCGGGAGGTACCTGTGCCGCTTAGCGGGGAGGGAGCCAACAGCGGTTTGCCACCACTGCGACGTATGTGCCGAGGAGACGGCCCAACACGCACTGGAGGAGTGCTCAGCCTGGCGGGAGCAGCGCCGAGAGTTGACATCTATCGTGGGGCACGATCTCTCGTTGCCTGCCGTGGTCCGCGCTATGGTGGACAGCGAGAGGTCGTGGGGTGCCGTCCTTGCATTCTGCGAGGACATAATCACCCGGAAGGAGGCCGCGGAGAGAGAAAGGGAGGCAACTGCCACCCTGGAAATCCGCCGCCGGAGACCAGGGCGCAGGAGGCTGGCCTACGCGCGCAACCTTCCCCCCTGATAGCAAGCCCCGGGGCGGCAGATGTGGGACTAACTGCTGCCCCGCGGAGGGCTTGAGAGGGGTGCCGTGTTCTTTGCACCGACACGGCACCATTTGGCTGGACCGGGTGTCCCTAACACCCGGGGAGAGGAGGCCTGAGAAGGTCACAGTCGCGCCGGGGTTCGCGGAAGATTGCGTTCTCGTGTTCCCGTGTCCCCCGGCAAAGCGATAGCGCAGGTGCAACGTGGGTTTTTTAGTGGGTACGTGTAACTCCCACATACCCCTGCTGCCTACCCACAAGGCAGCGGGGAATCCATAAAGGATTTTTCCCACGTTAAAAAAAAAAAAAAAAAAAAAAAAAAAAAAAAAAAAAAAAAAAAAAAAAAAAAAAACTGTGGGTGTAGTGTTGTCCGGCGAGACCCCCGGCGGTGGGTCCGGCGTGTCTAAGTCCCCTTCCTCGACCGGGTCGATTGGGACGTTTCGCGGGCGACGCTTGTTGACGTTCGCGTTTTGGTCGGGTTGGTAATTTGCTGCGCTTACCACCAGAGGGTTGGGATGATGTTCGGCTCTATCGAAGAACCGTTTGGTCAGGTCTTTAAAATATTCGCGAATCGTCGGGAGTCTGCAATCGCTGTGCAGGTCGACGTTGCGTTGATACCACTGCGCACCAGTTGCACGGCGGATGAACTTATTTTGTACTATTTGCAACTTGTACAAGCGAGTAGGGTGCGTGTGGGCGAAGGTCATGCATGCGTAAGACATAATAGGTCGTACGCAGGTCTTATATAATAATAATTTGTGCCTTAAGGGCATTTTACTTTTAGCGTTAGTTAAATTGTGTAGCCGGCCGGAGACGAAAGCGGCTCTATTGCGAACGTTATTAATGTGCGTAGTAAATGACATACGCGAGTCGAAAGTGACTCCTAAGTATTTGACCTTTTTTCTCCCAGGGGAGCGGTTGGCCATAAAGGGATATTTGCCCCAACTTTCTGCATTGACGAGGGCCATTATAAAGATGTGACGGGTAAGTACTTCGTGTGAAGTGAATCGCCACACTCTTTTCGGGATTTATTTCTATTCTCCATTTGCGGAACCAATCGCCGAGGCGGTCGGCAGCGCTTTGGAGTCGAGCGGTTAGTTGTCTAAGGTTGCGGTCTGAATAAAAGAGCGCCGTGTCATCCGCGA